TTTGAAGTCTTCTCTAACCTATATTTGTACAGATTCCCCAGAAATAAGAGGATTATAGGAAATGGAGAAGATAAGCCTTGAGTCCGATAGACTGGGTTGTGTTTGTGCCGTCCTTTTACCTATGTGGGCCTCAGTTTTCTCATTTGCAAAGAGATCGAATGAGTTCAAGGCTCTTTGTTGTTCTACAGACGACAGGTTTCTATATTCAATTAACATAATTGTCTGTAAGAAAGTTAAGCTGGTATTCCAGTTGATCTGGCTGCCAAGAGTTATTTTATAAAACTAAGCTTTGAATACTCCAAAGTAATCTTAGTTTTATAAAACTGTTCAGTATTGTAAGTATTCAATGCAAAAGAAACAATTCTCCCATGAACACTTTGAAATGTGTAAGAATCAAGCATAGAAAGTACATACATATTTCATTTGACAAAAAGTTTAGAGTTATTCTAACATTCTATGCTACTGAAACACAGTGTGTTTCAAGGTAAACTAGTAATAAAATCAAATATACTAACCCTAACAGTATATCACTTTATTATTCACTAAGTCAGTGTTTCATTCCTTTAATCAATCATACGGAACATAGAAAATTTAACCGTAGGGAATGAGGTACTTATCCTAAGGAAAGTTGCAAGAAAATGAAAGCTTATTTTATTTAAAGTGACCAAGCTTTTTTAAAAACAAAGAGTATGTTATACAGAAACATTACATATATTATTCATATTTCTACTTTATTAAACAAATTTATTTAAAATACTCTTCATTCGTGATTGTTGACACAAAGCTGTTTTATAATTCATAGCACTGTTGGTTTCAATACAGAGTGGCACAACTGTTGTCAACTTGTCACTGTTACCTTACCATTTACTAATTCGTTCTTTTGTATAAAAAAATGAGAGCACAAGAAAAATCAGACAAATGATAGTGTTAAAATTCATTTGATGTGCAATTCTAGAGCACTGTGCAGGGTCTCTGAAATAGCTGTTTGCTTTTCAGGGATATTTCAGATGTATTACTGATTCTTATTTGTATCCTTGATGTTATGGGCAGAGTAATCGTGCTCTCTGAGTAAGTGGGAAAATTACTATTACTAGACCTATAACTTCAACACATGAAAGATTTATACACTTTACAATGATATGATGGTGATTACTATTAATGATGATATCAGTGTTATGAGGGCTGATTTTGCCATTAGAAACCAGGAGTACAAATGGGCATGGTGGCTCACACTTATAAGCCCAGCACTGGGAGGCTGAGGTGGACAGATGAACTTGAGAGCAGGAGTTCAAGAACAGCTTGGCCAACATGATGGAACCCCATCTCTACTAAAAATACAAAAAATTAGCAGGCATGGTGGCACACACCTGTATTCCCAGCTACTCAGGAGGCTGAGGCACAAGAATTGCTTAAGCCCAGGAGGCAGAGGCTGCAGCGAGCCCAGATCACACCACTGCACTCCAGTCTGGGCAACAGAGCAAGACTCCATCTCAAAAAAAAAAGAAAAAGAAAGAGAAATCAGGAGTAAATATGCCTTTAAAAACTATGTGAACTTACATAAGTTACCTAACCTCTTTACCCTGTTTCTGAGCCTAGGTTTTCTTATTGATGAAATAGAATCATATTACCTACCAAAGAAAATTTATTTCAGGTTTGATGATATAATCCTGTGAAATGTTTGGTTCACTAAATAACACATAGTTAATGCTCAAAAAATGTTAGGTATAACATCATCATCATCATAATTTTATTATTAGGGAATAATAATTATTAGTTTAACTTTCAGATAACCATTAGATTCTGTATTCCTCACTCATCTACTAGCTGCTTCTATGCCACCAGCAAGAAAAGAAAGCAGAGACAGAGACAGAAATGGTGGGGTCTAAGATTTCTTCTCTAATTTTATCTCAAACTTGTCTGCTGGTTACCATTATTTCTATTTATTCTCTCCAATCATTAGTGATACCATATGTTATTCATGTATTACAATTTGTCATCTAATAAACAAATAATGCTTTCATGAAAAACTTACCCTTCTACAATAGTTCTATTAGCCAATCGTATACAGTGTTCCCAAAGTATATTAGACACAGGCAAGGGTATTCGAACTCTCTTAGAAACTTCATTTAGCCTCCTGTTAAACTGCTCAAATTCCTAAGAAGATAAATAGTAGCCATTTGTGAATATCATTAAAATGCCACAATGCTTGCCCATAAAAACAGTTTAAATAAAAAAGATCTAGAAACTCAGACTCAAACCAAGATAATCAAAAAAGATAATCTGCACTTAGTGTGAGGGTCTTAAAAACATATATGCAATAGTTTTAATAGGTTATATTATAGTACAGAGTACACTACATTTTATTGCAAAAGAAGTAAGCGTCATTAACTGATTAAACAATGATAACGATGTTGAAATGTCTCAAAGTTTCCTATGGTTGTTGTATAGATTAATAGAGCTGAATGACCTAATTTGACTTTAAAAATATCTTCAAGAAACCCAGATTTAAAAACGTGGTTTGATATACTTTTAGTTCAGAACCATTTGTAATTTGTAGCTATATACCTCAGAGTGCAATCTAATAAATAATCATCTTTCCTAAACATTTTTTAAAAGTAAATCATTATATGGGTTGAGAATTCCTTATCTAAAATGCTTGGGGCCAGAAATATTTTTTGACTCTGGATTTTTTTCCTGTTTTGGAATATTTGCATTATACCTACTGGTTGAGCATCCCAAATCTGCAAATCCCAAATCAGAATTCTGAAATGCTTCAATGAGCAATTCCTCTGAGTGTCATGCTGGAGCTCAAGAAGTTTTAGCTTCTGGAGTATTTCAAATATTGGATTTTCAAATTTGGGATGCTCAACCTGAATACCAAATGATCAAAAAATCATATTCTAGCTGCAAATTTTTAGTACCAAAGAAAAAATAAAACATAAAATAAATTCTATTACTTACAGAAAAACTAAATACTTTTACCATCTAACTTTATGACATGATCGCACTAAATAGACAACTTCAATAATTAGATGGGAACAGCAGATGGCTTAGCCTTCAATTAATGTGTTTTTGGTCTCTTTGGACTATTATTATATAAATATACTCATTTACAGAAGTAAATGCTGTTGACTCTTCCCTGGCAGTGTATTTCAAATATAAGAAGGCTTAAAATGAGATTTTTTTCTTTATAGTTACCTGAATAGAGAAGCTACACAATATTTAACGAGACTGACATGTGTTCACCTTTTCTAATAACATACAGGAGAAAAAAAATCTAATCTGATCAGGACTCAGGCTATTAAATAATGATTGTGTTATCCTCTGCTCTTTTGCTATTTCCTAAATCACAATTTTTCTTGCTAATTTATTTTTAAAAATTCGTTGCCTTTAATTATTAAAAAGTAGATTGTCAATTCATGAAGTTTAACTTTGAAAATCAAAAATAAATAATTGCTTTTTATCTGTTGTTACATTTCATGGATCTAGAGAGTGATAGTATTTGTTACTATATTTACACATTCCTTAAACTGCTTTGGATTTCAAAAGTCATAATTCAATATTTTTCATCAATATTATATTTAAAAGATAAAGCTATATGTACAAAATGCTTTCTGTACAAAAACATTCTACTTATTGCTAAATTCAGTGTTCAAAAATGCTTGTAAAAAAGGAATCATACATTTTTCTTATGATTCTTTTGGGACAACATAAGCAGGCTGAGAAGACTTAGATGGTTAGACTTAGAAAAGTAATAGAAAGGACAAAAGATAATTAGCCTATATGCTTAAAGAAGGCCTTAAGCTACTAAAAATTGGACTCAGGTTAATAATCTGAATAACACAAGTTCTTTCTTATAACTGGAATGACGAATAACTGAAACATCATAGTATGTGTATTTGTTGAGCACGCAAGTCTTTTTTTTTTTTTCCACCCCTATAAGTACCATGGTTAGTATGTGCTATGGTCTGAATGTTGTGTTCTCCCGAAATTCATTATGTTGAAATCCTAATCCCAGGGTGACCGTGTTGGGAGGTGGGGCCTTTGAAAGGTGATTAGGTCCTGAGGGCAGAGCTCTAAGGGGATTAACATCCTTCTTAAAAAGCCCAGATAGCTGCCTTGCCTCTTTCACTATGTGAAGGTACAGCAAGGTGACATCTATGAGAAATTGGGCCTTCTCCAGATACCAAATCTGCCTGAGCTTTGATCTCAATCTTGAACTTCCCAACTTCCAGAACTGTGAGAAATAACTGCTGTTTATAAGCGACCTAGTCTGTGGAACTTTGTTGTAGTATCCCAAAGGACTAAGACAACATGTCATAAAAATTGATTCAATTTTTCAAAAACAGAATTGTTAAAAAGAAAGAATGTATTTATAAATTACATTCATCTTTTACATTCCAAATGAAAATCTGCAATTGAAATTTCCTGGTACTCTAGAAACCAAGTTCTTTTTTTAATTATTTTTCAAGGTCAGTGATCTCTGAATTCCAGAGTGGCAAATACAGAGCACCACTGGTGTCACTCCCTGCTAAGATCTCTATAGAAATTCCTAGCAATTGCTGACTGATATTGGCATGATTAGACCTGGAGTTTGGAGACAGCCTCAAAGTTTTCAACCTCCAGAAGAGGACCATAAATTGCAGGGAGTTGGGTGACTGAAGAACTCCATTACCATCTCCATTTTAAATCTACGGCTCTGTTTGCTGGTTCTCAGATGTCCTAGGCTCTTATTTGTTGACTTGATCTAAGCAGGTAAGAATGATGGTGTAAATGAGATTAAAGTAAGGAGTTTATGAAGGGACAATTTTCTTTTCATTGACAAAAATGAAAACAAATTTTTTTCTTAAAGTTGCTTTCATTTTCTCAGATGCTCTTTCCACAGCTTATTTCCTTTTTTTTTTCTTACTAAGTTTTATTGTATGCTGCTGCCAGTGTATATAAAACAATTACCCCTGTGAAATAGAAATTCATGAAAATTCGGAGAGGTAGATGTTAAGGACTGACAGAAATAGAAGTTTGTATATTATGGCACAAGTGTTACAGGGATAAGCTTTTGTACAGGCTTCAAATGGAGCTCTCTTGAATATTCACTGGATCATAAGAAGTGGTTTGGGAAACCTTTGAAAGATTCATTTTACTACAAAAAGGAACAGACTTTCTGGGGTCTGAATGGATTTGTACTTGAAGATACTCCAGTCAGCAGAGGATCATGTTGAGCATTCTGCAGACAGAATTGTTGCAAGTCTGCAGCTGCCTGGGAAACTTTTACGTGGTTGAGTCTGGCCTCCAGCTGGAGCTATTGAACCACTTTCTTCATAGCGGAGATGCTGGAGGAGCCAGACATGGTGTACTGGAGGGCCGGGCCGATTCGTGGGTCAGTAGGTCATGGGCCATGGGTTGACAGGTCCACAGCTTATTTCCTTACTTCCCTCAGGCCTCATCTCCAGTCTCACCTTACCAGGGTCCTTCTCTGAGCACCACAAATACATGGCATTTCTCTTCCACCCACATCCTGGCATTCTCTCTGACTCTTCACATGATCTTGTTTTTTTTCACAGTATTATTCATCATCTGACATTTTATCTCAGTTTATCTGTTTACTGCTATCTCTGCCCTGGAATGTAAATTCCTTGAGGGCACATAAGTTCCTGAATTTATAGCTATACTGCCAGGACTTCTATCAGTGTGTGACACATGTCAGGTGACCTACAGCTATCTATTCATGCATAAATGAAAAAAAAAAAGACCCAAAATTCTTTCCAGGAAACTTATGAACACAGGTCACTGACTGCAAAGGGGTGTGTGTATCACACACTTCAAAAGTAGTGTGATTTCTACTCAGAATAATCAGAGGCATAGTCTCTTGCTAATGAATATTACACTAAACTACAGAAATCATTTCTAATTAAACAGAAATATCTTCTTGTCACTATAGGGATAGCTACTGAGATTACATAATATGAAAGTCAGCCACAACATATAACAACTCAAAATGGGAAATTAGTGATCAAAGCCAAAAAAATTTATGACGTATTCTTAGATCTAATAGAAGACAAATTCAGAAAGTAAGTCTATTTCAATTTAGAAGCTTTAATGCCACAATGCTAGAAATGTGGTAGTAACTATAATCTTATATTTTAGAGCCACTGCAATAAAAGAACACTTCTCTTAGTAGACTGATCTTTAGCAAAAGTGTTTCCCAGAACACTTGCCTTTAACAGTGCATCTACATATATGTTGTGCTGTGACATAATTTCTTTTACATCCCATTTCACATTAGCCATTAGGAGCAGCATCTGTTCATAATCAATGGCTTTACCAGCTACAATCCAGTAAATTGGTTTGCGTAGTTCACTGGCAGTTGAGACTGTCTGAAATAAATTTCACAGAAATGAAAACAGTTATTTTCTAAAAGTATCATATTGATAAAAAATATTTGCCCATTTCCAGTATACATCATATCTGAAAATAAAACACTATATATTTGGAGATTTAAATTATGAAAATATTTTAAATATTTGAGTGAGGGAAAAGGCTTTACTCAAAACATAATTTGGAGACATTCAATAAACTTGAGGCCATTGACAATGTGACTGTAAAAGAACTAGAGCTTTTCATGGAACCTAGCAATTACTTCTCATATTCTTCCATTTCTCTCCATTTCCACTCTCACTGTATGATGTCAGGATTCCATTATCTCTCCGTTGCAATACTGTAGTAGCCTTCAAATGAGTTTATCTGTCTCTAGGACTGCCATCTACAATCTTTTCTTCACAATGCCACCAGAAAACTCTTTCTAAAACACACACCTGACCATGCCACTTACCTGTTTCAAACCCTCCAGGAGCCTCCATGCCCTCCAAATAAAGTCCAACTCCTGAAGTGGGGTGCTTTATATCGTAGTGGCCCCTGCTGATTGCCCCAGCCATCTTTTTCATCCCCAGCCCTCCTCCCTGCTCTAACACGCTGAGCTTTCCTCAGCTGCTGGCACGCACCATGCTCTTTCTCACCTTAAGGTCTTCACACATGCCATTCCCTTTGTCTGGGATCCATCCCTCATTCACTCTCTCTACCTTGCTGGTCCAGTTTAAACATTACTTCCTCTAGACAGCCTTTCTAGATGACCTTCTCCCACCCAGAGCCTCTCTCCTTCTCCAGTATGGGTTAAAAACATTGTTATGGCACTTTCCCCTTACCACAGCACTTATCATTCTTTATTTTAATAGGTTTTTTCTTTTTTGAGACGGAGTTTCACTCTTGTTACCCAGGCTGGAGTGCAATGGCACGATCTTGGCTCACTGCAACTTCCGCCTCCTGGATTCAGGCAATTCTCCTGCCTCAGCCTCCCGAGTAGCTGGGATTACAGGCAAGTGCCCCCATGCCCAGCTAATTTTTTGTATTTTTAGTAGAGATGGGGTTTCACCATGTTGACCAGGATGGTCTCGATCTCTTGACCTCGTGATCCACCTGCCTCGGCCTCCCAAAGTGCTGGAATTACAGGCTTGAGCCACCGCACCCGGCTATTTTAATAGTTTTAACTGGTGTTATCTCTCTCAATAGTCTAAAAGTTACATGAGCTGCTCAATAGTATGTATGTAATGCAGAAACTCATGACTGAATAAATGAATATTCTATCTGGCTCTCCTGGGCTTTGAAGACTAACTTCTAGTTTAAAAACAAACAAAAAATATAAATAATCTGTGACAGTCCTATCTTGCTCACAGTTGAAATAACATACAAGACCATCTCTGACCTGAGAATAAAACTGCTGAAGAAAGGGCTTTTTGACTGCAGGCATCACAGCATCCAGATGTGGCTGAAGGAACTCAAACTGTTCAGCCAAGAATACCCTAAAGGAAATAAATAACCCACTCTGTAAACAAACTGTGTAGGATTTAGAGCCTGTCATGTTTTTGTATAACTATTTTTTAACATTTCTGAGCAAAACTTTAACAATTAAAATTACTTTTCACTTAAGTGAATGACCCTGTACTACCACTTGACATGTTCATTTACAATCTACACAATAAATAATGCTGAGTTTATGACTGAATGGAAGTTGAGGTAAAAGAAGGGCAATTCAAAGGAGCCAAGCAAGTTATGATGAGTTGTAGAGTCGTGTACTTCAGCTGTAAGATGTGAGCCCAGAGTAGCAGGTTGAAAAAGAATACAAGGGTATTTTTTAAAGGATTTCTTTTAAAGATCTCACTCAGTTATATACAACGGACTCTTGAAAGCTCAGATTCAACACCTGACACTTTTCAGAAGTAACCCAAACATTCCTAACAGGCAGCAAACTAACTTGGCTGAGTATTACAAATGAACAACAAGTACTGGAGGCTGGATTCAGGGAATGGGAGTCATTGGGCTGGTGAAGGAGCCTGAACTACTGCCTGCAGATGCACTGCAACTAGGCACTGTCTTTTTTGCTTTTTGTTATTAATGCAAAAACTCTTAGGTTATATTGGCCTACATTTTATAGAAATGTAGAAGAAGTCATGTGCATTAATTGTATTAATAATTTTGGGGATTTATAAAGGCCAGGAAACATTCTTATTGATGTCAAGGGTCAACTACACTTAACACTAAACTGACACTGTAACTACAGCTTCTCTAGAATCATGAATCATTTTCTCTAGGGAAGTATGAAGCATAGTATAATGCTTTTTAGAGTTGTACTTAAAGCAAGGATCATGTTGTTAAAGACTGAAAATTAAAAGGTTTCCTTCTCTCCATTTCTATAACTGAAAACCAACCATGCAGTTTAAAAAATCAAGTGGTAATCTGTGTTAGAATATACTTCTCAGAAACATATAAGTGATATCTAGAAGTGGTAGATGTATGCAGCTAATTAGAAGTCTAATTAAACAATGCTTACTTTCATAAACTTTCTTAAATATTTAATGGCAATGCAACTGTTCTGAACAACTTACAAGGATTCCGTGGCTACCACTCTTTCTGCCAACCCATACAGTGTATCCCCAGATGTCAAAAGCACTAAGTGACTGAGGTGTGGACTTGGCACCTTCTCCTTTCTTTCTTCTGCTGCTGTGAGCGTGGCAGTAGGATCAGCTGAAACTTCCTGAAAATAGAATACACATACAACCTGGAATAGCAAATCTAACAGTAATAAACCACCTGATTTTGACAAAAATAGAACTACAATTAAAATACTCTTGGGGCATACATTAATTACATTTAGTTTCAGTTCTTTTTATCCTGCATTCATGTTTTGTAACCATTGGAACCTCCTTTTTTAATCCTAAGTGAGAATAAGCCTATATAATATCATCCAACTCTATATGCCACCATCTATGCATGACCTAAAGTCTGCCAACACAAGGACTCTTTATGAATTGACGGATGTTTCATAGAGACAATAGTGAGATGGGCCTCGAGAACTTGTTAATGAGAGAAATATGATTACCCCTTGAGAACCACACTGATAAAATCCAAAATTATGGTTTTATTAACCATCTCACACCCAAATTCTAATCAAGGTTACCTTGGTATATCATCTCAAAAAGGCAGGACTGGAATGAAGTTATAAACCGGAAAAGAGCCAACTGTACTATATATGTCTGGGGACAGACTACTGATAAGAAGGAAGACAGTCAATGTGAACAAAAGAAAGGGATACCCAGGAAGCAGGGGGTGCTGGACCCTTCAGCACCATCCAGGAGAGAACCACGGATTCAGGTACATAGCCATGTAGTCAACAGGAGTGACGCAGTCTAATTTGTGGTCAGGATAACTCATTAGACTTCAAATTTCTCAGTTTTACTTTCATCTGATGATATAGTCACTAGAAATCTTCTCATTACTAATTTACTTTTCTAGGTATTCTCATGCCAGGCAAGGAGCACCTTGGATATGAGTTATGTACATTCTTGGACTTTATAAAAACATATCCTATAATATAAACAAACAGGTTGGCAAAGGAAGAGTTTCAAAGATACACTTACTCAACTTCTCCTCAGTAGATAGCAGGGGACTCAATTGTTTCTAAGCTCTTAGCAAAGAGTTAACAAAAACTTCAACTCACTGGCACACTGGCTATCTTTTTTTTTGGCAGGAGGGTGGAAGTATCTTGAGATCGTGGATAAAGATGCGCTAGGCTGGCTACTTGGAGTGGCTGACAGAGTAGCAGAAGACTGCCAGTTCGAGTTATCAATAACTCCAAATATTTCAATAAAGATACATTTCGGCGAATAAGTTTCCCTTTGTACAGCAAACATAAAGGAAGTCTGTTTTGAATACTGACATCATCATAACAGTTATTTGAATAGTTGCTGCATTACACCTTAGAGAAAGAGAGTTTTAATTATTCTTTTCTAGGGCACAAAGGAGAGAGGTAGAGGTAGTGACACCGCAGGAATCAACATTGCTGATGACGGTATAATCCAGAGTCACTTCACTGTGAAGGCCATTAATAACTTTTATAACCAAATATATTTCTAATAACAATGAGCTTGAATTACAAATGGACATCATACTTTTGGTTAAGTATAGAGTTTTGCAGTAATGACATGGCAACAAACTCCATTCGTTACATTTTGAAAAAGTTCCATAAGATAAATTTACAAAGAGAAAAAACAGAATAAAAGCGATGTAAGTTAAGCAATAGCTCATAGTACAAAAGTGCTGTTCTGTTTTTTAAAGTTAACCTGCATACAAGTTAACCCCTGCCCCCACTCAAAGTTTTAAAATGTTGATTGAATCATAGGATGACAGAGTTAGAAGAGATGCTAAACATTATATAATACAGCCCCAGCAGTATACGTACTACTTTCAGAATGGAAAACACTCCGTGATTATCTCTATTATGGAGTTTAAAGGTGAGAACAGTAGGCAGATAGCACAACTAAATGTTTAAATGCAAATAAAACAGCTTTAAAGGACACTCAAAATTTAGCACAAAAATTGGATATAAACAAATCTTAAAGTGTACAAAATATAAAGCTACATTACTTTTTAAAGCAACTTTATAGTAACAAATCTCCAATTATTTTCCATATGAATAAGTGAGACATCAAATGTATAAGTCTCTAGGAGTACAATTTAGTCCTATAAATTTAGCAAAATGCAAATAAAAATCACAAAATCTTTCAAGTTAGAAAATGGTTTAATTCTCTAGTTCTTTTTTTATTTCCTATCTTCTCCTAAAGACAGTATCTCTCTTCAATCTCTAGTTACT